CCATGTGGGGGTGCGATCGCACGTGAAAATCCGCCGGGACCCGGGTCCTGACACCTCCCCCGAAGGTGAGGGTGTTTTTTTTTTTTTACCTCGCGCGTGAGCACGATCCCTGGGCGGCTGCCTCGGGCCGCTCCCTCGGCCTGGTGGAATCTGCCCTGGGCTGCCGGACTTCCGTCTCTTGGGGGCTGAACACTTCTTCATGTTGGTGGGCATTGTCCTCCGCCCTGGCCCCTCCCCCATTCCTCCTCTCCCCCCACCCCCTCCCCTCCGCCACTCCTCCTCGCTGTGCCTCCTCTTCCGTCTGCTGCTTTTCGTGCTCCACTGTCCGGGATTCCCTCCTGTCGACTCGCCTAGCTCGGCTGTCCCGCGCTCTTAAGTATCCCTCCCCTGCCCGGGACCCTCTTTCCGCACGCCCATCCTCCGAAATCCGAACACGGTACATATTGGCGGCGAGGACAAGGTTGTATGAAGGGGGTAGAAGAGGAGGCAGGGCTGGCACAGCGCATAAAGTCAGGCGTGCCGAGACCCAGAGCAATGCAAGTGCAAGATGGGGCCAGGAGGAAGGGTTGTGCCGATCTCGGAGATGCAAGAATGTCGACGGCAGAGGCGCCCCACATAGGGTCCCCGCCCCCCCCCTCCCTCCCCCTCGAACACCCTGTGCGCTCCTCCGGGAAGGGGAGGGCGGGGCACAGGGACGGGGAAGGAGAGTGGGGCATCTTTCACATGATCTGGCGGTTGGAGAAAAAACGAGAGGAGGGGGAGGGCGGAGAGGGACGGCGAGAAGGGACGGGGCGAAACACCCGGCGGCGGGTGGGAATTATTCGCGGCCGAAGAGGCCCATGGTCTTCTGGTAGGTGAAGCGGCAACCGTCCACCAGGTAGGAGGGGAGCTCGCACCAGAACTCATAGTTGGGAATGGCCTCGAGGCCACGCTTCTCGTTGAACTTGTGCTGGTAGAGGAACCCAAGGGCGAGGTAGAGGAGGGCCGAGACGAAGAAGCTGCATGTGCCGGCAGGATGACAGGCAAGGTCAGTTGGCGCAAGGATATCGGGACAGGGCAGGGTGCGGCGTGGGGGGG